TAATATAGTACTATAATGAGCGCTATACGGTGATATGTTAATAGAGTACATATTGATATTGTAAATTTTTATTTTTGCAGGTTACGCCTGGAAATCCATTACATGAAACTTATTTAAGCGAAAATCTTGAATTATTGGAAAAAGGATGTGTTAATCTTGTTAAGCATATCAAAAATGCAAAAAAATATGGTTTGCCAGTTGTAGTTGCTATTAATGAATTCACGTAAGCCACCCTTCTTACAATGCAATAATTTAATTTTAGTTGTCTTATTTATAAACTGATTTTTTACCATGATCATGTTTGGAAATAGATCTGATACACGAGCTGAACACGAATTAATTCGTAAGATTGCAATAGAAGCAGGTGCAAATGACGCGATACCAGCGGCACACTGGGAATTGGGAGGAGAAGGTGCAATCGAGTTGGGGAAAGCGATCATTAAGGCGACAACCGATAAAACAGAGAAGCGAGAATTTAGGTTTTTATATGATGTAAACAAACCAATCGTCGAAAAAATTGAAATTATTGCAAAAGAAATGTATGGAGCTGATGGAATAGAGTTGAGTGAGAAAGCTATTGAAAAAGTTGAAAGATACACTAAACAGGTAACTATTAAGAAATTACATGATTCAATAAAAACATGACAATTCTAACTGCACTATATGGCATTTTATAAATTTAATAAGGGATTTGCGAATTTACCAATATGCATGGCCAAAACGCATTTATCTCTTTCACATGATCCAAAACTTAAAGGTGTACCTTCAGGATTTGTAGTACCAGTACGAGACATTCGAGCATCAGTTGGAGCAGGATTTTTATATCCATTGTTAGGAGAAATGCAAACCATGCCTGGATTACCTACTGTGAGTAATTAATATATCTAGAAATTATAGCTTTTTTTACATTTACTGTGAATAATAATAATTTTTAACTTATGAACATCACAGCGACCGTGTTTCTTTGATGTTGATTTAGAACCAGAGACTGGCAGAATATATGGATTATTTTAATATGTAATTTTACAGGCTATAACAATTGATTGTACTATATATCCTTAAATCTTATCCAAAAAGATTGAAATTACCTAAGTTTATCAATAATTGAAATTGATTAGGATTTTGGCAATGCAGATTTTGAAATAGCGGGCATGGGTGTTATTTCGAATTTTGGCCCGAATTAAGCTTAATTCGGGCCAAAATTCGAAATAACACCCATGCCCGCTAAGGGACTAGCAATACCAGTTAAAAAATTTCGCACATTATGTGATCCTATTAAAAAAAATTTCGCTAAGAAAAAAATATTTCGCTATTAGGTTAGGGTTAGGGCATTGCTAGTAGGTTGGATTTAGAGGATTATAGTTATACAGTCAGACCCCCCTAAATGCTACCTCCCTAAGTGTACGTCCTATGAAACACCTCCCTAAATGCACGTCTTCTCTTGGTCCCAACTAATATTACATCTATAGATTTTTACCTCTCTAAATGCAGTACCTCTCTAAGTGCACGTTTGACTAAAGTTTTATATATGGTCCCGTCACATTGCATTTAGAGAGGACTGACTGTACCAAAATTTTGCAAGGAAAACTTTTTGTTAGTGCTTTCATAGACTAAATTTTGAGTTATGAGCGATTTTTGACAAAACGAACGTTTGTTTTGAATTTCCCTGATCGTGCAACGTTACACCTGATCTCGAAATCTGATTGGCTAGTGAAATTTTTTAGACTGGTATTTTAAATACAGTTCATGCCCGCTATTTCGGTATGCTTTTATGAAAGAGTATTTCTAAGCGTCTCTGGCTGGTGATGCTAACGTATATCAGTGTTGTCATGTTTACTATGTCCAAGACTTTTTAGGTCATGGTCCAAACGTCCGCATGTCCAAGAATGTCCACAGCATATTCAATCCTCAATAATTAATATATTAATTTATTATAATGCTGAATATTTTTATTAAAATAGGTTAATAACATTTTGAGTAATTTCATGTTCACAACTGTCTAGTGACAAAACTACCTCAGTATCGCCACGCATTGACATGTCTACCAATGTATAAAATTCGCACAATTTTTTAAATTGGATGTGCATGTATGCACAAAATTTGTTTTTAATTAATGGTTCTGATTTATGTCTTTGTACTATCTGTAGTACAGTTTAAAAAAACATTTTATATACAAAAATCCAATAATTGTCAAAGAATAGTTTGGCAACATTTTTTTAAAAAAATTAAAATTTCTTAAAATTTGCTATATTACAAGTACATTTTCCGAACCTATTTTTATTATATAATTATTAGTAATTTGTTAAATTGTGGTTTAGCTTAAAAAATTTTAAAATAATATATAAAGCTATTAATTTTTTTTTATATATAAAATCTAATATTTAACAATTTATAAACAATTTAAAAGGTTAATTAATTATTAAAATTAATAGATAATTGAATTTAAAGAATATGCTACATTGTAATATGCTTGCTTGGTTTAACCAAATTGTAAATATTTCAAGAATAAAAATGTTATTATCAGTTAAATCAAACAAAAAATATTATTTGACTTAACATATAAGAGTAGTTAAACAATGTGGTTAAATAAGAAAAATACAATAAAAACCTAAGCTAAAACAAAAATACTATAAATTAACTAAACAATAAATCAAGAGTTTTTCTATATATCTCTGGCCAGAGAATATAACTTATATATCTTTGGTCTCTTTAGCCAATCAAAGATCGAGTAAATCATGTGACTAAGATTCATATATTAATTTGATTGCTAATATCAGGTCAAATACTTTTTCTTTTCATCACATTATTGGATAGATAAATATAGATCAAATTCTATTGTTTTTTTTTTTGTAATACAGTATATACAACCTAGTTGTAGCAAATCAAAATTTTTAGTGGTCAAATTCAGATTTTATTTTTTATATATATGAAGAGATTAATTTGAAAATTTAGCTAATATTTATATATAAAGTGGCCAAATTTTAAAATTTTAATATATATAAAGTAGCTAAATTTTAAAATTTTAATATATATCAAATTAAATTAATTGTTTAAAGAGGCCAAATTTTCCTTTTTATATATATATAAAAGGTGGCCAAATTTTATATTTATTTATAAAAATATTATCTCTTAAATTGTAACACAGACAAATTTGCTTGCGTTCATTATTTTAAACTCTAATTTTTTAATAAAATCTTAAATATTAATTTTAGCAATATACTTTTTAAGTAAAAAATATATATATATATATATTTTTTTTTTGGTTTTAAGGTGACCTCTTGGTCGATTCTCTTTATTCAGTTATTAGTCAAGTTTTA